TAGATTCAAAACCTTGTTACATATAATGCTGAAATACCTGCATTCGACCGCCACGTCGGTGTCGCGGTACAGGTTGTAGCAGTCTTCGCACACGCGGTCGAGCCTTACAAGGAGTTCGCGGTCGTAGACGCCCGTGCACGAGTCGAAGGATATGCTGCGCTTGTTTGCGGTCTGGGCTCCCGCGAGGGAGGTCGCAGGAGAGGATTCTGAGGAGGAAGGCAGGGACGGAGGGATTTCATTTCCGTCCCAAGAGGCGAGGACAGAGGCCGGGAACACTAGCAGCAGGGATACCAGGACAGCTGAACGCACCTGTTGGGAAATTAATTAGCTTTCTGTAAATCTATGCGTGTAGCTTTTAATTGAGGCTATTCCATGGGAATTTATAAACATTAGAATTAGCCTTGCACTTCACGTCAATCATTCACTGATAGAGCGTGTGAACAGTGGAATGTAGAAACCATCTTGTTTGCATTCACTGAAACCGAATACAACTAAACAGCTGAACCATATAGTTGATTATACCCCATTTTGATATAATGCGCACTATATTCTACTATAAAGTGAATAACTTAATGATTATACTGATACGGTCTTCCAGAAACTGCAAAGCGTACAACACATAAGGATATATATACCGAAAAATCCAGCTTTAACCTTTACCCTTTCCAAAAACTTTACAACCAACTCAGTTCTTTAGCCTAGACTTACCAGTCGAACCCCAATCATTTCCTCGGCGTCGACTCGAATCGGGAGGAGAGAACCGGCGACTTCGAGGCTCTTCGTCTGCTCTGCGACGGAGCCAAGTGGACGTCGCCTTATATAAGCGGTCGTCAGCGTCCTGCATGTTGGCGAAATCAGAGGTTTGGGCGAAACGCCTTGTGTTCTGAGCCTTTGATCACGGAATCGCTAATCACCTCTTGAACCTTCGCCAATTGTCTTAATCTGCCGTGGTTGATGGACGTTCACGCTCGCGATCGTATTTCAGCGATTTTGAAAATATTGTAAACGGTAACAGTTATCATTTTCAAAACAGATACACGTGCAGGCATATACATTCGTATACACATTATATATAATATAAATATTTCGTATATATCTAACATTATTATATATACACATCTATAAAATTAGATAAATAGATAAACATAATTATATACATATATATAAATTAAGATTTATATGCATACATACATACATACATATATATATATATCATTATGTTTATATGTATGTATGTATACATATTTCATACATGAATATATATAATCATATGTATACATATGGAAGAAAAACCCACAATGCACAAACTAGTTTATGCATTGTGGGTTTTTCTTCCATAGTATCAACACGGTATTGTGTTTTTCTATGTGCATATATATATATATATATATATATATATATATATATATATATATATATATATATATATATGTATATGTGTGTTTATATATACATGTATACATATGTATGTATGTATGTGTATGCATATGTGTGTTACTCTCGCACTCCGTGCCCTTGTCCGCTAGATATTGTTTTTATTTTATATTCTACACATTGGCGTCTGATCTTTCCTGCTTCTAGTAAAACATGATCATGAGAGGAAATATGACTTATCTTTATTTATTTATTTCTATCTGGAACATTAGATTCATCACATAATTATCATAAAATCCTAAAACAAAGGATATAATTGTGCCAAACACTTTCTATTAAGAGTTCATATTCATGAATAAACATTTATTTTTCCTCTCTATGCTTAGATTCCCATGATCTATCTGTCAATCTTCTGTGTATTCATATCTTTAATTATTTACTTACCTGCTTATTCATATTATTATTCTCTTACTTTTTTTTTTTTTTTGCCATTCAAATGTGTATGCGTTATACACACGAGCACACACTAAGAGATGTAACTAAAATATAATTGCGAAATTAAGTAACAAAACAATACTACAAAAATATTAGTTTATCAATACCGAATAGAATTAAAAAAAAAAAGAATAGAGATGGCCTAATGAGTTAAACACCTGCCTTCGAATTTGGGGGACTAGGGATCAGTTAATTTGTCCTCTCAATCTTTATTTTCGATTTAGTGGCCCTGAACATCAATTTCATTATTTCTAACAAAACTGATGTGAGTATGAAAATCAACATAGTAGCTAAAGTAGTAAAAAAAAATTGAGATTCATAATGTGCACCTTCCAACATATTAGGAATCATTCTGGAAAAACACTTATATTGGGAGCTGAGATTTAAAATCTTGGCCTCGGAAGCTGAAAACCTTAAATCTTGGGTTTTTGTATGAAAAATAGGTCTGTCCACAACAAATAAATAGGCATATTCATTAGAGAGAGGGAAAGGAAGAAAAAGAAAGAGGGAGAAGAGGAGAGAGAGAGAGAGAGAGAGAGAGATTCATATATATATATATATATATATATATATATATATATATATATATATATATATATATATATATATATATATGTGTGTGTGTGTGTGTGTGTGTGTGTGTGTGTGTGTGTGTACAGTATAAATGTGTGTTTGTGTGTGTGTGAGAGAGAGGAAGTATATATAAACATATATCTGGATATGCATATATGCATATATATATATATATATATATATATATATATATATATATATATATATATATATATATATATATATATATATATATATATATATAGTATATATATATATATATATATATATATATATATATATATATATATATCACATATACATTCATACATATTTATATGTATATATATACATATGTGTGTGTGTGTATACACACAGAGACTTAATGACTTTTGGCGTTAATTAAAACAGGTTGGTACGAATCTTATGAAAATAAATATTATTTGAATTTCTTTTGCATCAATTTCAAATAATAAGTAAATTCAGCAGTTGAAATAATCAAATCATACTCATAAATTATGAAGCGTCGATCTCGACAAACAAGAAGACATTTGGAAAATAAGCGCTTATATCGCGAACTAACATTTACATTTCCATAATTTTCATCTCTCGTTTAATACAGTTTTACTGCAAACAGAAAAGTTCAGACACACCCTGCAGAATTTTAGATGTCAAAATATTCGTATGGCAGTTTATGATATTTGTTGAAAAGTATGTAGTGGAAGTAGATAAAACGGGAAACAGACAGACAGGAGAGAGAGAAAGTGAGAGAGTGAGTGGGAGAGAGACGGGGATGACATCTACGATAAAACTTATTCACAAAAATGTAAATGCCTTGCAAAAAGCCTGGGTAAGATGCTGAATCATTTAGGCGAACTGGCTGTGCTTCTGTCAGTCAAACATTAGTTCTTCATGCCTGAAGGGCTGTCATTGTGTTTACATTATTGATATGTCACTTGGTCGGCAAAACAAAGAATATTAAAAACAAGACCAGTGTCTATTTGATCAACAGAATGCATCATTCGTGCAACAAAGTAAGTAATAGGTAAGATTATGCGACGTGGACATTTTGCATATTTTGCAGTAGTGATACCAAACTGACATTACCTCCAAAAAAATGTCTTGTACATATCTTTTATTTTACCGATGGCCTATGCACGATCTGATAACTTTTATCTCTGAAACAATTCATTTTAGCCTTTATGGTGTATATGCGTGTGTGTGCGTGTTCTATGTATACTCGTATGGGCAAAAATAAATATATGTATATATATATATATATATATATATATATATATATATATAAATAATATATACACACATATACACACACACACCACACACACACACACACACACACACACACACACACACACACACACACACACACACACACACACACACACACACACATATATATATATATATATATATATATATATATATATATATATATATATGTACATATATATGTATACATATATATACATATACATATATGCATATATATGTATAAAATATACATGTACATATATATATATATATATATATATATATATATATATATATATATATATATATACAAACACACACACATATATGCATATATATATATTTATTTATGTATATGCATATGTACATATACATATACATATATATACATTATATTTGTGTGTGCGTGTGTGTGTACATGTGTCTGTATATATATGTATATATATATATATATATATATATATATATATATATATATATATATATATATATATACATATATATATATATATATATATATATATATATATATGTGTGTGTGTGTGTGTGGTGTGTGTGTGTGTGTGTGTGTGTGTGTGTGTGTGTTGTATTTATATATGATGTACATATACATATACTCATACAGACGTACACACACATATATATACATACATATATATACATAAACATATAAACGTACATATATATATATATATATATATATATTATATATATATATATATATATATATATATATATATATATACAGACACATGTACACACACACGCACACACACAAATATATATGTATATATATGTATATGTATATGTACTTGCAGTGACAGCAGGTTTCAATGTACTTTTTATTTCTTATTAATTTTCTGCTGTGAAATAGCCCAGCTTCTTTTTTCCACAAAACTTGCAGAGCAGGACCTCGCTAACAAGCAATGGCAGTAGGAGTTCCAAATAAAAATCCCGATATGTTTCTTTCTTTGATTTATTTTTGATTTTGTTAACATATAACACATTCTGTGAAATAGCTCAGCGGGATTATTGCAACTTATAACCGAAGATACGAGAGCAACGAAAGAAGAATCTGGAGGTTAGTCTGGTGGCGGACATTTAGGGTGAGAAGGGGTGTTTAGGGGAGTAAGTTCCAGGGATTTTTTTTTTTTTTATTCATGCTTTGAAAATTTCCGGAAATGTGTGTAGTACTGAAAGGTCCTAAATTTTCAGTACATTTCCTGGAAGTACTGAGGGAGAGATCGCCCTATCGCCCCCCCCCCCTCCTACCCAAGACTGTCCGCCTCTGGCTTGGTCGTCTGGAGAATCATCGCACGAGCGTCGCCGTAGAAGGTGTGGCCGGAGAGGAAGCGCCTACTTGCCGAGCCTCTGCAGGGCGGCCCGGTACTGGTTCCTTTGGCGAGGCCGGTACATGTAGTCGACGCAGTACAGGAATACCTCGTTGTGGAAACAGTTGCTCCTACCAAGGAAAAGATATGCATGTACTTCTGTTTACATACTATTATACTATCATCGAAAAAAGTAAAAGAAGTATAAGGAGACCAAGGATTTCATCAAATATTTTGGTTTTAAATATTTTGTTGCAAAGCTATACCAAAGGCTGATCAAAAACATCAAATAACCTTGTTACATATAATGCTGAAATACCTGCATTCGACCGCCACGTCGGTGTCGCGGTACAGGTTGTAGCAGTCTTCGCACACGCGGTCGAGCCTTACAAGGAGTTCGCGGTCGTAGACGCCCGTGCACGAGTCGAAGGATATGCTGCGCTTGTTTGCGGTCTGGGCTCCCGCGAGGGAGGTCGCAGGAGAGGATTCTGAGGAGGAAGGCAGGGACGGAGGGATTTCATTTCCGTCCCAAGAGGCGAGGACAGAGGCCGGGAACACTAGCAGCAGGGATACCAGGACAGCTGAACGCACCTGTTGGACAGAGCAAATCAGATGGCATTATATGAAATGATGCTCGTAGTTTTTCATAAATGGTATTCTGTGGAAATCAATAAATTTTCATAAAATTTATCTTGCACTTCATAGCAATCAGTCACTGATAGAGCGTGTGAATTATAGAATTAGGAAACCATTCTGTTGCATGCATATAATCTGAAAACACTAACTAGACAACTGAACCATTTTATCATATCCCATTTTGAGATGATACGGTTGAAAAGATAATAATTCATGCTATATTCTACTATGAAAGTCCATGATAACACCTATCGGGAATAAATACCGAAAAATCCAGCTTAAACCTTTATCCTTCCAAAAACTTTACAACCAACTCAGTTCTTAATCTTAGACTTACCAGTCGAACCCCAATCATTTCCTCGGCGTCGACTCGAATCGGGAGGAGAGAACCGGCGACTTCGAGGCTCTTCGTCTGCTCTGCGACGGAGCCAAGTGGACGTCGCCTTATATAAGCGGTCGTCAGCGTCCTGCATGTTGGCGAAATCAGAGGTTTGGGCGAAACGCCTTGTGTTCTGAGCCTTTGATCACGGAATCGCTAATCAACCAGTTGTCTTGATCTGCCGTAGTTAATGGGTGTTCGCACTCATGATCATCTTTCAATCATTTTGAAAATAATGTAAACTGTAGCAATAATCATTTTCAAAACAGATACACGTGCAGGCATATACGTACACACACACACACACATATAAACATATTTCGTATATATGTATCATTATTATACATACATCTATAAAAATGTATGTAAAATGCATATATGTATAGATATAGATATAGATAAACATACATATTTATGCATATACATGTGCGTGTATTTGCATATACATATATGAATATATTTATTAATTCTTTTATACATATGTGTGTGTGTGTGTGTGTGTGTGTATATGTATGAAAGATAGAATAATGCAATACCGCATAGATATGGCGAATGAATAATATCTCTGATAGGGACTCGAACCCTCATCGTTGCAGGGAGGTAACTGCAAGACGGATGCTCTACCACCGCTACACGACCCTAGTGTGCAACTGGGAGGTATCTAGCTTCCATATACATTACCTATCTACTCATGCGTGAGTTAGGATTGCAAAGTTTTACACACACTCCCTGTGGGCACTCGGTAGATACTGACAGCGCAGATGAAATCCGAAATCAGAAAACCTGAGGTGTATTTAATGAAAGATGGAATAATTCACTAACGCAATGATATGGTGAATAAATAACCTCTCTGATAAGGAATCGAACCCTCGTCGTTGCAAGCAGGTAACTGTAATGTCCATGGAAGCTAGATATCTCTTAGTTGTACACCCTTTTAGAGGGCGGTAGAAGTAGAGCGTCCGTCTTGCAGTTACCTGCCTGCAACGACGAGGGTTCGAGTCCTTATCAGAGACATTATTTATTCATATATATGTATATACATCCATATGCATACATGAAAAAATATAATCATGTATGTATATGTGTGATACATATTTACATACACATATGTATATATATATATATATATATATATATATATATATATATAATGTATATGCGTGTATGTGTATACATATGTATATATATTTTATGTGTGTGTATCGTATATATGCGTGTGTGTCACTTTCTCACTCAGTGCCCTTGTCCACTAGATATTGTCTATTTCCTATTTTACACACTAGCGTCTGATCTTTCCTAATTACAGTAAAACATGATCTTGATAAGAAATATGGCTTACCTTTATTCATTACTTTTTCATATGTGACTAAAGATTTATCGCATAGTTATTATAAATCCTTAAAACAGGATATAATGCTATTTAAATCGCAAAACTGAGCTGCCACAAATTTTTATTAGGAATTTGGAATTCATATTCATGAATAAACATTTATTTTCCGGTCTTCAGCTTCCCATGATCTCTCGGTCAATCTTCTGCGTTTTCATAACTTTTATTGTTTACTTATCTGCTTATTATTATCTCTTACATGGTGTTTTGTCATTCAAATATGTATGTATAACACATGCGCGCGCGCGCACACACACACACACTAAGAGATGCAAACGAAACATGTTCTCACGATAATTGCGAAAGCAAGTAAATAAACAATACTGAAGAAATACTGGTTTATTAATACCGAATAGCATTTTAGAAAACATTAGAGATGACCCAATGAGTTAAACACCTGCCTTCGAAGCGGGGGACAAGGGCTCGATTCCTTAGTCCTTTTAATTTTTATTTCCGATTTCGTGGCTTTGAACATGTCAATATCATAAACATTTCTAACAAAAGTGATGTAAGAAAACCATTATGATAACGAAAGCGAATTCACGATTCATGATGTGCACCTTCCAACATATGAGGAGTGTAAGAGCCCAAATGTTGGGTCCTACAAGAGTTGGTAGATGGCGAGCTTAGGGTTTAAGGTAGACACCAAGATGTCTTGGCTCTTTTACTGAAGAAGATGTTGGAGTGCGGCAGCTCCTCGGAGCGAGGTGTTGCTCCTTGGCTCCCCGCAGGGAGTCTGCCTGATCACCTGTACAGTTGGCTAAAGATCGCATCAAGTCACGTGCTTAGCATGTGACGAACGGTGATGAACAAGCAAGCGTTACATCAGTACATAGCTCTTGTGGAAGAGATAGACAACACAGCATTGGAATGTCTGGTGTGCCAAGAAGAGAGGAATGAACAGTGTAAGCAATGGTCAGGCATATATGTATATGTATGTGTGAAGATACATATGTGACAAACATGTAAGATTATTATATATATATATATATATATATATATATATATATATATATATATATATTATATTATAGTAATTAGATATAGATATGCTGGGTTACATATCTCCCTGGTTTTAAAATGATGGTCCCATCATCAAATCAAACATCATCTAAATTCATATAGCTAAAAACATTAGAGAAATACATAAGAAACAATGGCACAATCGTGTAAAAACCGTAAGCAACGTAAAAAAAAAAAAAAAAAAAAAAAAAAAAAACAGGACGCCGGTATTGTGGTAGTGTATCAGTATCAAGTAGATTTGCTTGTTATTTTCTAACTGATGCCGAGAGTGCATGTTCTCGGGCTTCGGAACTGCAGTGAGCGGGCGGCGCTGAAGGAATCCCATCTTCAGGCGGCGTCACAGAATGCGCGGGCGGCGCTGATGGGAGTGCGTCTCAGGCGGCGGGGTAAGGTAA